AACTTACCTTGATCTCATTCTGATCTCTCATAAAATCTTTACTATATTAAGACTTAATGTTGGTCTCTTAGTTTTATATACATTAATACTAACAATGAATGTTGAAAGGCTGTAGAGATGGTTTAGTGGTTAATAACACTGGATGCTCCTCCAGAGGACCCATGTTCCATTCCCATCATCCTTATGGCAGCTCACAATCATCTCTAACTCCACTTCCAGAGGATCTGACACCCTCTTCTGACTTTGCAGACATTGCACACACATGTATACATATGGGCAAAACACCCATACACGTAAGATAAAGAAATAAATAACATTTAAATGCTTTTGAAGAATATTCATCTACAAACTTATATTTCAAGATATCTATTGAATCATTCAGGGTACTTTATTCAAGTACTTCCTTGTGCTAGTTAATTTTTATATTTTTTCAACTTCGCATAGACTAGGTCTTCTGGGAAGAGGAACTCTCAATTGATGTATGATTGGTGTGGAAGGACCCAGCCCACTGTGGGAAACACCGTCTCTTGCCAGAGCAGCACAATAGTTCCAAGCCTGTTAGCACAAGTGTGGATGAGCCAGCCCCGAAGTTCTGAGCATGAAAGACCTGTCTTCGTCACTCATCTGTCTTGTGGTGGCATGGGCAGGAGAGAGATGCCCTCCTCTCCCCAAACACCCATCAACACCAGAAGCAGCTGGGAGAGCTGGCCCTGTGGTCATAAGAACAGATATACCTCTAACCCTCACCTGCTACAACAGTTGACAGAGAAATCCCTGCAGCTTGCCTGGACAGCACAAGGGAGCCAGCTCCATTGGTTCAGGTAGGGGTGAGCCAATCCTGAAGTAGTAAACAAGGGAGAGTTGTCCCCATCACCCATCTGTCTTTTAATGGCATGGGCAGAGAAGAGTTGTACCCACCACCCGCCACCCACACCTATCAGTGCCTGAGGCAGGTGTGAGAACTGGCACTGAGGTCACAAGAGCAAGAGAGCTGTCCCTGCCCCCCACCAGCTGCAACACTTGGGAGAGCAGGCTTTGCACCTCGCCTGGGGAACACGACAGTGCCAACCTTGCTAGCAGAGGTGTGAGTGAACCAGCCCCGAAGTTGAAAGCGTAGAACCGTCCCTACTACTCGTCTGTAATGTGGTGGTGTGGGAGGATGAGAGATGCCCTTCCTTACCCTTTGCCTCTTTCTGCCTGCAACAGACCAGAGACTGACTCTCCTCCTTACCAGCTGCAGCACTCGGGAAACGAGTCCTGGCCCTCACCTAGGAAGCACAGCCGAGCTGCCCAGTGGTCAGAGGTGAGCAGAGGGCAAGTGTTCCCATTGCTCATCAGACATGTGGTAGCGTGGGCAGAGGAGAGATGCCCTCCCACCTCCTGCCTGCCAATGTCTGAGGCAGAGGAACTGGCCCTGTGGTCGTAAGAGCAAGAGTGCTGTCCTTACCGCTCACCGGCTGCTGCAGCACTCAGGAGAGTGGCCCCTGTGCCTCACCTGGACAACACATTAGAGCTGGCCCTGATGATGTAAGTGTGAGAGAGCTGCCCCTGTGAACATGAAAGCAGTGAAACCGATTCCACCCCTCGCTCATGGCTGCAAGAGATAAATTAGCCCCGGCAATGCTGGAGAGCGCACCCTGGTGGTGAGGACAAGGGAGAACTGGCTGGCAGACCAATCCTACAGCTGCCAGGCCCCAAACTAGGTTAAGACTTGAACTGCCCCAACATACACCTGCTGGAGTTTGTAAAGGGACCTGACGCACAAATCCAAAGCTGCAGGATCTCTACAACACAAGGCAACAACAGGATATCAAAAAGAGTCCCAGTGAGGGCCCAGCATCAAGAGTGTAGTAGAAACCAGAGGCCTTGAACCAAACTAAAGGCTTTTTGCAATGCACACTTGTAAGTAAAGATATTGGACAAAAAGGTTCACTGTGTGATTTTTAAATTCCCCCCTTTTTTTCTCTTAAATTTTGCTTTATTTGTGGGGGGCATGCGAAGGGTGGAGGGCAGATGTGAAGGAGTGGGAAAATGAATGGGATCAAGATATATGATGTAAAAGGTGCATAGAATAAATAAAGAGAAAGGTAAAAAGTATTTTAAATAGTGATGTGGTAGACAATGGAATGGATTCATACAAAGAATGTATTTTTACTTAACTCTGAACTCTTAAGTAAGCATCCTTGTGAAGAGAAAAATGAATACACAAGTAGTTAACATAGTGAATTGCAATGCCTGTACACTCAGCCTTTTTTGCCTTCTTAGACTCAGGTGCTTGAACAATTGGCTCATTCTTTGCCTTCACGTTATTCTTACTGTGGTATTGCTTCTATTCATGTCTGAACTACTTTTCAAATGTCAGTTTAAGACTTGGAAAATTCTTCTAATCTCTGTTCTAAATTTTACGTCATACTGTAATACATTTCTTGTTGTTCTTGTTGTTGTTTCAAGATAGGCTTTCTGTGCATAACAGCCCTGGCAGTCCTGGAACTCACTTTGTAGACCAGGCTGGCCTCAGACTCACTGAGATCCACCTGCCTCTGCCTCCTGAGTGCTGGGATTAACAGCATATGCCACTACTGCCTGACTGTAATACATTTACTAAATATTATAATTGGACACCAAAAGAAAGAAAGTGGTTTGGCAGCTGAAAAACATGAAAAATACCACATGCTGCATTTGGTTTTGGTTATGGGAAAGTCATGGTATCAGACTAACAACTCTGAAACACTCAATGGTTTTGTGAATACCGAGTATGTATATGCACAAAAATATTTCCCAGGATTTTTTTAATTACAATCTGTCCTTAGTCGATCAAGAAAATTTTTCACCCAATAGCCAATCATTTTTGTGGAATTTGTATCCTACTTAAATACATGAAATAGTACTTTCATATTTTAGAGAAACTTAACATTCACAAATTAGCATCATTGAATGTAACTTTTAACTAAAGGGTTGACATAGAACTAAGAATCAAGGTTATTAGAAGTTCATGTGCACATTTTTACTGGCTAGTATCCAACACTTTCTCAGAAATAATGCAGACATCGCATATAAACTGTTAACACCATACACAAGTTTTTAACCTCCTCAAGTCATTTCCTTCCTCTTTCTTGCCCAGCCCAGATCATTCTGCCCCTTCAGCTACAATGCATGGTAAGCATTAGATGATTCTTTATAAATTCATGCTCACTGAATAATTCAAAATGTAAAAAAGATCATATTTTACCCCATACTAATTTTAACACTTAAAAAGAAGAATACTCAGTATTATGACAATGTCAAGATGAGTCAAAAAGTGTTTATGGTGGAGGAGTTTGACATGAAAGAGTTCTTAAGATAACTCATTTAAACCTCAAAGGGCAGGAAATATCTTCAATTGTCCTTTACTCTGGCTTCTCCTGGTTCTCTGCCTCTGGCTTGCAATGCTAGTAACTCTTGGCTTTATTCTCCCTCTCATGGCTCTTTCCAGACACTAGTCAAGGACTTGTCTTCCTCGCAACACTTGGCTGCTATACCAGGGGAATTATCTAAATACTTTCCTTGTCCCCTAGAAAGTCCCATGGAAGGACTATCTCAACTGCCACACTCAATGACCCCACTCTGCTCTAAAGAAGCCAAAGAAAGATTGATGCTTCAATTCCCTAGATAGCAGTTAGGGTTACCTCTTGGGGGGGGGGGCTGGGTATGACAATGGAAGGTACAAAATATTTAACCTTACTTGGAAAAAAAGTTCCAAAATCAGTAGTTCCAGAAGTGTCCTTGTTTCTTTGGCCAGGAACATTAGATCTCGGGTTTCTTATCTTTTCCTAAATGAGCAGCCCCCAGCTATAGGCTAATTCAGCGGTGAGGACAAAAATTGCCATCCAAACCTAGATCCCTTCTGGCGAACAGTTTTGGGACAGAATCTCTACTTTTTTTGGTGAAGATGGGTTGTATTGAGTCCCCAATTCCAGTATATTGCCTGAGTTTAGAGTTACTGCTTCACAGGGAAAAGGGGGCTGTAAAGAATGGACTCTAGACTACACCTCCCAGAATTCCAGTGGGCAGAGACTGCTAGAGTAAAGCATCCACGTGCAAAGAAAGGTTGGGAAAGCTGATGAAAAAACCTTTTAAGTCTTTCATTGGTGAGATTTCCCATCTATGTAGCTGCTTGTCCACCATGTGGTCAAACTCTACAGCAACTTAACTGGAACAACATAGCTTTTCTTTCTCTTTCCCACCTTCCTCATCCAGACAACTGCCAGGATTATAGTTAGTCTGCACTGGGGTGTTTCTTTTGAACAAATAAAGTGGTTCCTGAACTTAAAGATAAATAATAAAATAAAAAATAAAATAAAATAAAAAATGTTTACAACTGGATTTGTATGTCTTTGCCCTCATCCTAGGTGAGTCATTATGAATCTAAGTACTTTTAGGTGTGGAAGAATTTACATATGGCCATGGTTACAACACAACAAAAATTCAAGTCACACAACATTTGGGGGGACATGTAAAATGTGCCCGGTACTGTTTTGTACATGTTGAGTATTCAGTAACAAGTAAAACAGAGAAAAATTCCATCCTTGTGTTTCAAATCCCACCCTCATGCTTCCACTGCTTATCACCCATTCATTCTTGTAATTAAGTTTCAGCAAGTGTTAACCAATGTAACCTATGACACATATTTTAAACAGTTTATAGAAATATGCAGTCTATATACATATATATGTGAAAACTTATTCAACCATTCGTTAATGTTGTTGGGTCTTTTTTCAATCATCCTTTATGGACTGACATCCATTTAGGTTTTGTTTTCATTTTTGCAATCATAGCTACAATAAACATAAATACGTCAAAATCATGAATCTATCACTTTTATACACATATATAGCTTGTTATTTATAAGTAAAAAGTCAAACCTAGGTGGAGTACAAAGTTACAAACATGCCCATCTTTCCCAATTGGATGCCCTGATTGGATCCTACATTTCCCAGGTAGGCGGCTATGGTACTATCCACCTGTGTGGTGCTGAAGAAGGAACTCCTTTTCAGATTCCATACACCTGGTCTCCTTTTGCTGCTGGGAATCTTCGGCGGTCCAACCAACGTCTATGAGAAAGCAGTTCAGAATAACATCTAACTTGCAAGTGCAAACTCTTCAGTGTCTGTCGTATGGCGTGCTCTGCGCTAGTCTTGTGGCTCGTCCTTCCTCTTGGACAGGGTCGCGACCTACACCTTAAATGCCCTACTAGCTTACCTTTTACAGAACTGAGTAGCTCGCCCCTACAGATATAAATACATGTTAACTGATTACGGTATCTTTTTTGAGACAAGATACGTATAATGGAAATAAACATATTCGTTCAGCCTCTCCCCCACCCTTTTCTCCCTAACCCGCATCTGTCTTTCTACCCGCACTGAATCAAGTGTAGCTTCCACGCCACATGATAAGGAACTCTGCCTTCCCGGGGTCATTTGCCCTAAGGTCTCGACAGGATACACTCGTTTCCTGACATTTAAATCACTAGCTAGCAGTTTTCGACTCCGTTTCCCGACACTTGCCTCCATTTCCCCTCTCAGCGTCTTCTCACCAAACCGCAGCTCAGACTCTCTAGAAAGGGAATCCACTCCCTTGGTGCCTAGACTCTGGGGTCTTCACTCCTTGGTGTAACAGTTAATCTTCTCCCAGTGCCTGCCCGCCCCATCCTCCTAGCATCCGGTGCTCTTCTAGGAGGAGCCTAAACGTCCGCCCTGCTGAAGGGGATTGTGGTGCGTAAACAGGATTAACTCTCTAGCCCCCAGCTGTGCTGATTTGCGGGGCAGCCTGCCAGTCCAGTCCCCGCGAGCCCTCGCGTGCGTGCAGGGCCCAGCTCGTGGAGCGGGGGGATGGGGCAGCCAGCTGCCTCCCTGCTGTTTCTGGGGCTGGCTCTGTGGCTGAGTGCGGTGGAGGGCCACAGCCTCACCAACAGCTGCTCAAAATCTGGGGTGGACGGAGGCGACCGCTCCTAGTTGTGGCCTGCATCCATCAGCCCCTTCTTCCTCCCTGCGTGTCCCCTCCGCCCATCGCACGGCAACAGCTCCCTCCAGCCCGCACTATCCTTCACCACGGCCACGACTGCCAGCCCCTCTGCCAGCTATGGGGGACCTACCCGGACTCGTGCGCCTTTCCATCGCGCTGCGCATCCAGCCCAATGACGGCCCTGTTTTCTTCAAGGTAGACGGCCAGCGCTTCGGCCAGAACCGCACAATCAAGCTGCTCACCGGCTCCTCCTACAAGGTGGAGGTGAAGATTAAGCCCACAACACTGCAGGTCGAGTGAGTGTGGGGCGCACTGGGCGGCAGGGCGTTAATACCCCGGGTATGGGAGGAGCACAGAGGCCCCAGGACATCCCTAGCCTCCCCTTGGTCCCCCTTAGTCTCTTCCGTGCTCAGCGGGATCTGGGGTGTGAACGCCCTGTCCCCAAGCTACTCTCCTGCCCTGAGCTTGTAGTCCTGCACCCCAGCTTCCTTCCATCCTTCTCTGCGAGTGCCTTTAAATCTGCGACAAGAAGCCAGGATTTGGGGCTTTTGTTTTATTTTGGGGTTTGCTTTGTTTCGTTTTCTTGTAAATTTCTCTTCCATCCAGTTACAACGGGGAACCACAGGTAGACAGGGTGGGGCAGGTGATAGACATGGAGGGGCTCAGCAACTGAAATCCCATCCCTTCTCTCCTGGATCCTAGGCTCTTCCTCTGCTTTTGCTGAGGAGACGGAAGCGGTGGGGGAGGGCTGAGGAATGAGAACCTCAGTGGACAGATGGTCACTGGGTTCCCTGAGGGGCGCTCCCCACTACTCCTCTTTAGAGTTAGTGGCACAAATTTGAGGGTACCGCCAGTGCTGGGGCCTACCTTTATGGTTTTACATGCGCTCTACCTTTTCTTTGCTTCCTGGCTGAATTTTGGGTTCAGCCCGGTGCTGTTACCTGTGGTCTAAAAACGCCTTCACAAGCTGGGTGTAAAACAGGGGAGAGACGTATGGGGAATAATTCACACGTGGGTTTTGGATTCCTTTCCTGTTGCTGGGCTAAAATTCCCTGGCAAAATCAACTTCAGGAAGAAAGGTTTTGTGTGGCTAAAAATTCGAGGTTGCAGTCCATCATGTGGAAATGTCAAGGCAGCTGGAACTTGAAGAAGTCAGTCATAATGACATCCAGAGTCAAGAACAGGGAGCAGTGGACTGATACATACATGCCCGTGCCCAGCAGCTTCCTCTTTTTCCTTAGTTCAGAGCCCAGCCCATAAGATGGACCCCTCCACTTTTAGGGTGGCTCTTTCCACCAAGATTAAACTAAATAAGAAAATCCCACACAGACATAACCCGAGGCCAAGCCATCAAGACACTCCCTCATTGAGACTCTTCCCAGGTGGTTCTAGATTGTGTTGTCAAGGTGACAACTGAGACTAGCCATCACAGGGTCCTGTACCTTTCACCTAAACACTGCGTGAGTTCTAGTTTGTGAGCAAGAACAAAACAAAACTCACATATGCTGAGGGAGGAGGGGCCTGTGAATCTATCACTTACTTGTAGTTAGTTTGAACTCAGTAAACCTATTTTATTTAGGCTTCATGACACACAGATATGTAGCCAAACTTGGATGTTTTCTGGTATGCCCGATGCATTTAGTCCATCAGCATCCCCCAAATCTCCACCTCACAGGTCCCCACACCCGTTGTCCTCACATTGCCCAGTTGTCTCTTCACTTGTAGCCAGCCTTCTCCTTTCTCCCCTGCCCTGACATTTGCCCTCATGTATAAGCGTTATTTTCCCTTAAGTCAGTCCAGAGAGCGGAAGTAGTTGATCTGTGATCATAATACTGCTTAGTTGGACAACTCTAACCTCCTGAGCTTTCAGAGGTTGCTACCATGTCTTCCTTAGCCAAACCCTATGGGTTTCCTCTCTACGATTTTGGTTCAGACTAGAACAGGATACCTAAGCTAATTCCGACCATCTATGCTCAACTCAAGTTCATTGCAGGAACATTTCCATTGGTGGCGTGCTTGTCCCACTGGAGCTGAAGTGTAAAGAGCCTGAGGGTGACAGAGTTGTCTACACGGGCATATACGATACAGAAGGAGTAGCTCCTACCAAAAGTGGAGAGCGGCAACCTATCCAGATCACCATGCCGGTAAGTCCAAGGTGGAGGTGTAGGGGTGTGGTTTCAGATCGAATGGAAACTGCAGGGGGAAAAATCACTACCTCTTTAAGAATAAGAAAAGATGCTTTGGAGCCAGTTACTATGGCAATTGGCTTCTGTTTCCCTAATGGATCTATGAGAGAGTAATGTAACCGATGCTGTTTTGCATGACAGACTGAAGTTTCAGACATTAAAGGTGCCAGGTAATTGGTTCCAGGAGGGCTAATGACTATATTGCAGGTTTCTCTGTTGTGTTCTACACAAGGACTAGTTTAAATAATCCACTCTGAAAAGACTGCAGTTCTACATACTTCACAGTCCCTTTGGTGTGAAAAAAAGAAATCTCTAAATAAATGACACATTGCTCCTTAAATGCACTCTGGCTGAAGAACCCTAAAAAAGTGACTGCTAGGCTAAGCAATAAGATCCTAGTCATTGTATGTCCTGTGCAGTCATTTCTCTGTACCCGTGGGAGATTCATTCCAAGACCATTCAAAGATGCCAGATCCACAGATGATCATCCCTTACACAGAGTGGTTCAGTATTTGCATATATCCTATACATGCCGTTGCATACACTTTAAATTATCTTGAGAGTGTGACTGTTATGTAAATACTTCTTTAGGGAATGATGATGCATGTTCAGTACGCACACAGTTTTCTTCTGGGTGCCTTCTGGTCCAGGTTGATCAATCCATGGACATGGAGTCTATTAACATAAAAAGCATGTGTATATTACAAGAAAATATTTATCACCAAAGAATATTGATATCAAATAGATGAAAGGCTAGAGTTGACAAGTAAAGCTTTACTTCAATACCCATACGAGAAAAAATTTCCTCTGAAGGTTACTCAAAAGTTCAGTCCTAGTTCCAGAACCAGTGTTTTTGTTTTTGTTTTTAATTTAATGGTGGATAAGTTAGGATCAAACAAACGGACACACCTACAGAGAACCAACCCTGATGAGGATGATCTGTGGAAGAGACATTTATCTAAGATCTTATCCATCCCATCTGATAAAACCTCAAGGTCTCACAGTGTCCAACATCCTTAAAACAACTGCAGTGCTTGCCTAAGGAAAGAATCTAGGAGCCCATTATTTGAGGGATATATTTGAACTCTTCTTGTAAGGAATTATATTTTCCACCAGAGATTCAACAGAGGAAAATATATAACTGTGGAAAATACTAATTTCTCTTAGAGACAATATTTTAGTCTCTGTTCTTGGAAAGCTGCTTCTGCTATGTCTTTACATACATGCATAGGGTTTTCTTAAGTACATGCACATCAGAAGACAGAAGTATGAAGCATGAATTTGCAGTCTGTTATGTGACTGTGTCAAAATCTCCAATGCCTACCGGTGGTTTCCATTTCTCACTACTATAAAGAAAACCACTTTAAGTTTTACTCACTTATGCAATGTTATTGTTTACTTGGGGTAGATTTGCAGAAGAAATGCTAGGGGTTTTTAATAAACATTGACCTCTAGGAATGCAAGCAGAGTCTGGATCCATGGGTGAGTAGCCTGCCACTAGCCTGACAGACCCAGTTCTGTCACCAGAGTCCTCCTGGTGGAAAGAAAGAACCCCATTTAGGCTGCACTTGGCACATATACCCACACAAGAAATGACAGAATAGTTAATAATAATAAATAAATGTGATTTTAAAGCACTTTTAAATGTTTTAACCCCGATAGAATATTTTAACGTTTATGTTTCTAATTACTGTTGGCTTGAGATACTTGCCATTTGTACTCTCTGCCTAAATTATATTTCATAACTTTTATTCCTAGCTCAACCTGTGCATATTACTGACTTCAATAAATCTTAAAGTGATCTCTTACTGTATTTAAACGTCCTTATTATTTACCATCTATTAACTTTGATCATAATGTAAGTTTAATGTAGCCCAAAATATTAGTCTTTTCTTTTATGACTTTTGCAGTTAGCACCAACCCAGAATAGAAAATCTTTTCCAATTCTGAGACTGATTATGCATACATATAAACACAACTACATTTGTATGTTTTCATTTATATTTTCATGGTTTCATTTGTTAAATTTTGGATGAACTGGAGTTAAATATTATTTCAGTTCATATCATTCTATTGGAAGATAATGTAGGAATTAACTCTAAAATAAAATGAACTTAATTATTTTATTTAACATATTGGTAGATTCAATGGGATAAGATTACATTTAGAATTTCATATTATTAATTTTTATTTATTTTGTTTATCAGCAAGTACTTGAGAATTTCCTATATTGGGGGCGCTATGGACAGAACCGTGAGAAAAAAATAAATAATCCTTACTTCACTGAGCTTCTGACCTTAAGAGGCAGAAACGTACTTTGTATATGGTTGTCAATAATGGCATAAACAGTAGCGAGTATAAGCCAAGCATGATGGTGCATGCCTACATGCACTGATAAGGTCGAGGCAGCATTGTGAGTTCAAAGCCAACCTGTGCTGCATAATCAGACCCTGGCTCAAAGACAAAAAACAGCTGCTATTATAAAGCGATAATGAATCCCTATAGGACCTTGGGAGGGCATGCCAGGAGTGTTATGTTAGTTCAAGATTAGGAAAGAAATAAAGGATGAGAGAGGCTGGAGGGCAGATTGACAGTGAAGAACAATTGCTACTCCTGAAGAAGTTTGCTTCCTAGCACCCACTTCAACTAGCTCAACCACTTGTAGCTCAAATTTCGGGGATCTGATGCCCTCTGCCAGCCTCTACAGACACCTGCACATAAACTCAGGCAGGCATATAGACATAGACATAAATAAACATCAATGAGTCTTGAGAGGAAAGAAGGAGTCTCTATTGAATACAATATTCTTGAGACTCAGTCATGCTACGTGTGTCAACTCTGCTGTTGTGTGTTGGCTCAGGTTATCAGTGGATAGTACATTTTACTTCAAACTTCCTTTTGCTCCTTATATGCAGGTGCATAGTGTTGTCGGGGTTTCTGTCCTGCCTGGTTCCCGCAATCCTTAAGTCCCAAAGAAATTACACAGTTCTACATTAGTTATAAACTGATTGACCCATTAGCTCAGGTTTCTTATTAACTCTTATATCTTATATTAATTAGCCCATTATTCTTGTCTATGTTAGCCACGTGGCTTGGTACCTTTTTCAGCGAGGCAGTCACATCTTGCTTGCTCTGGTCTGGATCAGGACTGCAGACTAAGACTTCCTTCTTCCCAGAATTCTCCTGTTCTCACTGACCCACCTCTACTTCCTGTCTGGTTGTCCTGCCTATACTTCCTCCCTGGCTACTGACCAATCAGTGTTTATTTAAAATATGATTGACAGAATACAGACCATTGTCCCACACCAGCATAGCTTGATTATTTTCAGCTTTTGGTATTATATATAAGTCTACAATGAGCATCAAAGTATAGTTCTCAACTAGAAAACATTTTTATTTCCTTTGAGTTGATAACCAAGAAGAGAATTTCGAAGTCACAGGATCAGTGCACATTTAACTATATAAGAGATATCCGTGTTGGAGAGATGGCCTGGCACCTGCTGCTCTTCCAGAGAACCTGAGTTCAGTTTCCAACAGCAATATCAGGTGACTCACACCTGCCTGTAACTCCAGCTCTAGGTCTGATGCTTCCGTGCCCCTGAAGGTACCTACACTCATATCACAACCACACACACACACACACACACACACACACACACACACACACATCTAAAAATAAAATAATTCTTATTTTAAATATCCAGACTATTGCAACTTTTTCTTTCTACCAGAAACGTTGTGTGAATCCTAGTTGCTTTAAATCCTTAATGGATGCCAATCTTTAAATTTGGAAATGAATGAGACCTAGAATATCCAACAAAATATTGATTTGCAATCTAGATTGATTTCTTACTTTAGAACTACAAGTTTATATTTAAAACTTTGGGTTTTCCTTTCAGGCCATTATATTTCTATAGAGATTTTAAAATTAGCTTGTATATTTATTCAATAATTGGGCTGTTGTATTTGCATCAAATCTACAAGCCAACCAGGTGTGATAACATACTCCTGATAGTCACAGCTACTCACTCAGGAGATTGGGCAAGAGGATGGCTTGTGCCCAAGAGTTCACAGTGGAGCTGTGAGACATGAGACATTGTGTCGAGGAGGAGGAAGAGGAGGAGGAGGAGAAGGAGAGGAAGAAAGGGGTAGTCTGTACATATAATCACAGCAATTGGAAAGCCCAGGGAGAAGGAACAGTACTAGACAACATTCAAAGGCAGTGTGAGGAGGAAAAAAGCAATGAGTATCTACAGATCAATTTTAAAAAATTTAATATCTTTGTATTGAGTCTTTTAATCCATTAATATGTCTATTTAAAATTCTCAATTTTCTCTCATCTTCTATATAATAGGTTACAATATTCCCTATGCAGTTTCATGAATTTTTAAAAAATTTACTATTGTTTCATAATTTTCTATGCTACCACAATGGAATTCTTTTCATTGCTGGTATGGATGTAAACTTAGTTTCTACATTAATCTTCAGTCCTAAAGTCTTGGAAATCTTGTTGATTTGTCCTGTAGCTCTTCTTCTAGAATCCTTATTAATTTCTACATATGCTGTCACTGAAAGATATTTTTCTTCTTTCCTTCCCATCTCTATTCCTTTTATTTATGACTTGGTTATAATAGCTAGGAACTTCAGTATGATACTAAGTGGAAATGGTAAGTTATCCTTGTCTTTCCATCTTCAGAAGACTTGTTTTTAACAGTATGATGTTAGCTATGTAGTTTTTAATATAAACTTTGGTATTAAAGAGATTCCCTTCTGCTTTCCTAAGCATTTTCGTTCTGATGCTACAGAATGTTTTCAAAATTTTTATGTATTGCCAGAATTTATAATTAGGTATCTTCTTCTTTGCTTTGTTTATAACATAATAACTTTTTTTAATGCTGAAGTAAACTTGAATTCCAAGATGAGTAGTAATTAATTATGGTATGTTTTCTGGATGAGTA